GGAAGAATGGGATACCGATGGACCAGGGAATCAACGGTGTCTTGAACCATCTCCGAGGTCCACCGAAGTTGGAGAGGTCTTTGAACGATTACGCTCATATCTATAGGTATTTAGTCATCTTAAATTCGTCTTTTTCCAATATTGGTAGTGTTATCAGGAGTCTTTTGTGTTGTGAATAATTTTCATTTAATTTCCAGAAGTTTCACTGTTTCAGTCTCTTTTTCTTTAAATTTAGAGGAAACATATGGACATTTATTTCATTTTATAATGATCACGTATTTTGTTGCATGAAAATAATCCATGTTGTTTACTTGCAATGAGAGATTCGATCAGTAGTGCAAAAAGGACAAGAAAATATTTTGAATTAACAAAAAATACGAAATACAATCTTTTACAGATATTCTTGCAAGTTACAGATATTCTGTCTTACTTAATTTAGAAGATATTAATATAAAAATATGGAACGAATCATGAAAAATGTATTTTATTTTACATTCTTATCTCAATAGAATTTTGGAAAAGAGTTGTAGAAAGAAAGAAATTGAAGGAAACATATGCCAGGAATATAGAAAAATATCTTTTAGGAAAAAAACACGAGGAGAATTGGTGCGTGTGTCCGCGGCCGTGATGGGTATCGAATTTTCATACGCCGCTGAAACTGCATTCGTTTCACCGACTTTATTGAAAATCGGCGTGGATCATCAACACATGACCCTCGTCTGGGCACTTAGCCCCCTTATTGGCTTCTTCGTGACGCCGATTTTGGGGAGCTTGAGCGATAGATGCAGACTGAAATACGGACGAAGAAGACCTTTCATTCTGTTATTGGCTATAGGGGTGTTGATAGGTAAAGTAATTCAAATAAGTAATTTAAATGAGAAATTCGATCTGCTGTTTAAAAAACAGACCTTAACTTAACGAGAGAACTATCATTACCGTTCATATTTCGCTTATTTACTTAACACGATATGATAATGAAATACAATTGAAAATCAATACGAATAACTACATCACACTGTATCTGAAACGATATTAATTATTCTGACACGTGCGAATATCTGTCGAATCTATAGCAGTCGAAATATCAGTGAAATATTGACAAATAAAATGATAATATTGAAATGCAATCAAATTTATTCTCTACTTTCTACAAGCAGAATTCTCTTGGCTAATCTACTGAAATTAAACTCCGTCTTTCAAGGATTAATATTAGTTCCAAATGGTGAAGACATGGGATATGCCTTTGGGGATACACCACCAACCTGGACCAATTACACCATTCCCGTGGGACATCGAACCACTGCGAAACATGCGAAAGAAGAGTCAACGAAGCCTCCTTCTCACTCTTGGGGGATTTTCTTCACGATCCTGGGCACGGTTTTGCTCGACTTCGATGCAGATGCGTGCCAAAGCCCAGCCAGGGCTTATTTACTCGACGTTACTGTACCTGGCAAGCGAATGAACTTATTAATTCAATTATTTACCCTAAATGGAATAGAACAAAAGTAAATTAATCTTACTTTTTATTTAGGCAACTTATAAATTTTGATTGAAATTAAAGTTGGAATATAATGTTAATATAATTCATTGTAATGCTGATTGTTATTAAAACGTGTTGTAATTATTCATTTTTGCAGATGACCATGCTAAAGGTTTAAGTACGTTCACCATAATGGCGGGCTTGGGAGGTTTCATGGGGTACGGACTAGGCGGAATCAATTGGGACGCCACTACCATAGGGGTTATGCTAGGTGGACATCTTCATGCTACCTTTACATTGATTACTATTATTTTCGTTATTTGTGTATCCTGTACTATCACCAGTTTCAAGGAAATCCCATTGGAATTGTTGGAAAGCGATGAATATCAACATCTACAAGAACAAAAGGTTCGATACCCTTTCCTAATTTATTCGTTAACATTATTAATATATATGTATAGTATAAGTTTTTAAACTAATAGAAAATTAGTTTCGACACCTTCTTTTAATATTTCCAAGAGTTTCGTGTTATTCTTGAAATTCATTCAGGCATCTAGCGAGGAAAAAGAAGACGAGCAAAAGGAACACGAAAAGATTACTACTGATGAGTGTGCTTCGTATGGTACCTTGGATCAAGATCAAGAGATGGCTACCAAAAAAGATGTATGTCGACGTTTGCAAATCATCTATAACCAATTTATTCATTAAAATCAATTTGCGGATTTTACACAATCATCAAATAAAACAAATTTAATTGAACAATTGCAAGAATGATTATAATTGAATAATTTAAAGCAGACCTTAAGATTAAACTGTACATTGTTCAGATTATTTTTGTGTTTTACTTCCTAAAAAGATATTTAAGTAAAAGGCGTAGTTGTGTAAAAAATACAATAAATAAAATATAAAATAGAAATAAAGTACTAATAATAAAAGAAATAATCGTGTTCCTGTTTCCTCTTCAACAGGAGTTTGTTCTCAAACCTCTTCCAGTTCAAGAACCAGAGAAAAGAGCTGGTCAAGTACCCATGATACCAGATGTAACCGACCAGGATAGTAATTACGTAAAACATGATTTCAGTGAAAATCTCGAAGGAAATCCGAAGGCCACATTAAGGGAATATCTTCTTTCTATTGTATACATGCCACACAGTCTTCGTATGGTGTGCCTAACTAATTTATTCTGCTGGATGGCACACGTTTGTTATTCCCTATATTTCACAGATTTCGTCGGGGAAGCTGTTTATGGCGGAAATCCGCAGGTATTCTGTTTATTACTTCTTTCATAATTAACTATATCCTTATATTTCTGTAATACATTCTTTATTCGTAAATTACAGGCTCCAGAAGGTACCAAAGAAAGGGAATTGTATGAAAGTGGCGTTCGTTTTGGATGCTGGGGAATGTCTATGTATTCATTATCCTGTTCTTGTTATTCATTGATCATTGAGAAACTCATAGAACGATACAAGTAAATTAATATGACTTCCTTTTTAAAGAAGTAATACTTTGTGTATATATATGTGTTAAAAGATTAGTTTTTACCCTGCGATTAGGTCCTTGTTTAAAAGAGTAGTTTCTTTCTTAACGATCGTATACTGAAAAGTTAACTCTCCATGTAACATTTAATTAAAATTTTTTGGATTATTTTTAAGAAACAAATACTTTTAAAAATTTGCATTGAAAAAAAAGATATTTTAGAAAATAATTAAAAAAATGTTTCTTCAGGTAAAAGATTTATGAAATGTTATTTGCTTTAACAGAGCCCGGAAGGTTTACATTTGCGGTTTGCTGTTCTACAGTACCGGCATGATGATGATGGCACTGACAAAACATCCCGCGGGAGTAATTATATTTTCTTGGACCGCAGGTGTTATGTATTCCACGTTATTCACCATGCCATATCTGCTAGTTGCACATTACCATGCTTCATCAACAGTAAGTAATCTTGAGACTGACTTCGAAATGAATCGACCAAAGGACCAACCAACATTTGCATTTTAAATTGAGGGAAAAGAAAAGCATATATTAATGCAAGAAAGTATTTTTAGAAACATAATTAGTCTCAAGGAAACATAACAAATATCTTGAATTTAAAATAAATAAAACATTTTAATTATAAAGATATAAATTGTTAAAAAGCAAGAAATGAGAAAATAATTCTTACAGACATTAATCTAAATTTTAATATCATAAGAATAGGCTGAATTTTAATATTATCAGTATTTTACTTTTGTTTACAGGAAACTTTTTGCCTATAGGAATAAAAATAATTTAATAAGATGTTATACCCCAATGAGAAGAATAATGTCATTGAATTAATAATGTAGCGTAATAAACGTGTATATTGAACAGAAATTAAATTAGTTAATTTTGCAGTTCGAGGTGACAGCTGAGGGTGAAGCCGTTCAAAGTGGAGGAGTACGTGGTCTTGGCACAGACGTCGCGATTGTCTCCTCTATGGTATTTCTGGCGCAATTCCTACTCTCCTGTTGTCTAGGAACGATTGTCAGTAAGTCTGGAACCACTACAGCGGTGGTGTGCGTGGCTAGCACCCTCGCTGCCTGTGGAGCCATTTCTGCAACACAAATCATGTATCTTGATCTTTGAGCTAGCTCTGGCGAAAAAAGACTTTAACTATATTTATTTTTATAGTTTATAATTTGTAACTTTTTCTAATTTTCCATATTTAATCAAAATTTTTGTTTTAATCAATTTTAGAGAAATAAGGATAATGATCTGATACTTATTTCCAAATTAAAAACATTGACTATTTTTATTTTTGAAATTATTGCTGTAGAAATTTTATTACTCTGATTACACGCTGGAGAAGTCAATTACTTTTTTTCTTATTATTAATTGGGAGGAAATAGTACTATTGCAATATTCCTAAAGTGAAGTATATCCTACGAATCTTTCTGTATAAAAATTGATTCAATCTCCAGTAATTTGGAAATGTATGTACATGAAATCTTTAATCGAATGCTTTGTGTGATAAAAATATAATGACGGTAATGATGCACAAATAATGGCTCTGTGTATCTACGATACATCATACAGTTGCGATTCTATGTGGTTCAAGGATAATTGTAAATAAATGTAACTTGTAAAAACGTAATAAAATACATAGATGGTACAACCTATACCTCATATATAATGCTAAGCATCGTCGTTTGGTAGCAAACCACAAATTTCGTAAGCAATTTCAATTTCTCTATAAATCAGCCTACTTAAGTCTACGATATATCTTCTGACATACCGATCATCGTCAAAATCCTACAAAATAAAGGAAATTTTTTTATATATTCATTTTCAGTATTTACTTTTAACACGATTTAAACTTTGTTATAAAAATGTTTAATTGAAAAAGAACGAAACCAACAAAGCAATAATTTTAAAACCTTCAACATGGTGGCCGTAAAATTCTCCATATAAATTAATTAATCGAGGAAAAACATTTTTATGATAAACTATGGAATTATTTTATGAACCACCATAAATGAAGATACATCCAAACAACAAACCTGTATAATCTCACACTGTCTATTTTTACAAATTACAGGATAAGAAAAAAATATTCCAGATCGAATGGAATAAGAAAGATCGGAAAGTACACCCATTGAGGTCCACTCATTTTCTGGAGTGCCATTCCATAAGATTTTACAATGTTCTGCCATTGCATAGGCTATGGAATTAATGAGGCTAGGCCTGCTGGAAACATTTCGGATGACCTAAAGGAAAGGAATATAACAATTTAATTAGGATAATATAATGAACATAACCTTAAGAGACAACCTAAATTCAAGTCATTTTGCAATCAGTCGATGCAACAATACCAATACGTTATATATTCATTTTTAGAAGATATATAAAACTTTGATAAAAGTTTAAGTAAAGGATAGAATATAATGAAGGTACCTTTTCACATTTATTTATTAAGTTTAGTAATACTTTAATTAATATTTTTTATTAAACATAAAATTTCTAATAACTGAAATAAAGTAAAATTGAATCATTAAAGAAAATGAAAATAACAAATATAGCAATTTGTTCATATTATTTATATAAAAGCAATATTTTTAATAATATTATTACTTTAGAATAATTTACAAGAAATTAAATAAAATTTTAAAAACAAAGACAAAGAACTTACACGTGGAAGAATATCGTTGATCCAAACCTTTAAAGCATCCGTCAAAGGTTTTTCATTGGTAAAATATATAAATCTACAATCGGGAAAACTATATGAGCCATTCGAGCCCCAAATTATTATGTTTTTTACTTCTGTTGGTAGGCACTGTGCTCGTGCAGCAATCTAAAAATTTTAAGATAATGAAAAAACACGTTTTGTTAAAAAAATTTTCATTAATTTGAAACAATTCATTACATTGAATTCATTAAATAATACGTTATAAAGAATTATAATAGTTAAATAATAAGAAATAATAGAAAAAGAAGTAAGAGGCATAAAAAATAAAAAGAAATAATAAAAAATGTAAAAAGAAGTAAAAGGTATAAAAAAGAGTTTGTATGAATGATACTTGAGCTGCAGCAATATTTAAATTAACCAAAGACAATGTAGTTATATTTTTCATAGGAATAGATTTCACATATTTGGATATAATCGTCGCAGCAGTATTTCCAAGTACTATAATTTTCGCATCTCTTTTCGCATAATGTTCTATAGCTTCGCCCTACAAATGGTATTGCAAAACTTGTAAATACTGAAAATTGTAATATTGAATTCGATGAATTATAATGATTAATACGTAAAACTTAGAAGTTAAAACGTATTCTTTGAAAAATGGTTCAAGATATTCATTGTCTTTGAAGTCATACTCCCTCGCGTAGCCAATGCAAATTACAACATCCGCATCCGTGAATTCAATGGAGGCATCGTGACCATAACTGATACCTACAAATATAGAATAATAATATTATACCGTGCGAAAAAGTCAAATATAATAAATTTCATATACAATACTTTAGTATACACGCGCGCGCATACATATATACATACATATATACGAATATTTTTTATACAAACACTTTTGAAACTAAGATAGGTTGACAATTATATATGTGTATAATAGTATGCGAATATCTTTGCATTCAAATACTAAATAATGGAAAACTATTTAGGATATTCTCAAGTATTTGCTATTCGAATTTTGGCTATTTAGATACTTGGTATTGAAGTTCTTAAAAAATTTAACTACACTCTTATGTTAAACTTCTACCATATTTATTATTTCAAATATAGAATTATTCTTTAAAAGATCAAATAATATAAAAATAAAAGGAAATAAAAGTACAAAAATGTAAAAGCATAATAGTGCACAGGTGTTTACCATATAAAACATTAGGATTAAAGGAGGTGAGTTCAATTGCAACACTTTCCAAGAATGTTGCTTTATTTGGTAATTCATAAAGACTAACAAAGACAGATTGATTTTTTCCAAACACGTTATCTACTAACATTCTGTACACAAATGAACGAGCAATGTCCGTTGTACCATCTGTGACTACAATTTTCAAAACATCATTTTTACGTCGTAGATAATTACTAACCAAGTATTTGTTATTTTCTAAATTCATTTTGATTCATTGATTGTTTAACAAATGAATATCGATTTTCTTTATAGTATTATTTTGTTTTAATTGAAACGGAATGAAGAAAAAAAACTTGATAAATATATAATGGAAACGCAGTTACAGTGAGAGAAGTTGTTTATTATGTGCGTAAATTATTGATACACTTTTCCAAAATTTCTTTTTTTATACGCGGATAATCCGGACTCTGTTTCAAAACTTCGTTACAAGCTTCTATCCCTTCTGCATAGGCTTTAGCTTTCATCGAACAATAGGCCAATTTATAGGCAACAGATAATTTTGATTTTCCTCCATATTTCCACGCTTGACTATACTGTGATGCAGCTTCACGATAATTTTGATCTTTTTCTGCAATGTATCCTGATAGCTCATGAGCTCTAACACAGGTAGCATTGTGTTGCAGAACACGTCTTAGGAGATCATTCGCCAAATCATATTTGTTAGATTGTACATAAATATCCGCTAAAAGTAACCAACATCGTTCAAGATACTCGGCATCTTCGAAGGTCCAGGTATTCTTGCTAACGCGTTTTAAATGATTTCGAGCTCTAGGAGTTTGTTTCAATAAAATATGAGCCATTGCCATGCCTAGAGCGGGTCCAACGTGATCCCTTAATGCCTCTTGACTAGCTAATGCTGTGCAATCCTGCAATGCTTTTTCTACATTGGATTTTTGCTTTGTAGCAAGCAGGAAAAAATTACTTAACAATCTATGCGTCAACATTTCATGTGGGCTACCTTTAGGATTTAGTTCCTGTAACAGCAAATAAACAAAACTTTGTTAAAATTATCATCGACATTTCAACATACACTATTTTCAAGGACAATTAATATAGTATTTTATTTAAGATTTGAGTGTGTCTTTTTGAGTACCTGCAGTAGACGATAGGCTGTTTTCAGAGCCATCGTTCTAGAATTTTGATATTCACTATCATCGTCATTAAAAACCTCATTTGAGAGAGAAGAGTCATCATCCGGATCTAAACAGATCTCGATCATATTATATATTGCTTGTTGACCCCACTCAAGATCGCGTCTCGCGAAATTAAACTGACGAAGCGCGGAATTTAACCGACCCATACGCCAATCCAACAAGCCCGCGCAATAATAATAACCAGCAGTTAACTTTGCACCACTCACTCCTAGTTCTGCTCTATGAAGCCATTCTTGAAGGTCATCCATATCTCCTAAATTTATATCATATCTTAAATAAATTAGATGGCAACAATTAAATTAAAAAATTTTGTTCTTTTAAATATAGTTCACCTGTTCTGCGAGAAACTTCTATCAACCTTGCTAACGCGGTCCAATAAGTTGGTTGCTTCAACAATAGTTGTCGAAAATGAAACGCTGCCGCATCAAAGTCAATTTTTCTAAATGCAAGGTCTGCCATCATTATTGAAGCAGCTTCGTTATTTGGATCTGCATTCAAGAGAGCTGTGCAACTTTGAGTACATCGATCCAGGTTGTTTGTCTACAATATTATTATTAATAATTTATTAAATAATATTGAAAATTGAATACACCTATATTTTCATTGACATTTACCTGCATGTAAAGCTTTGCTAAAGATAACAAAGCATTTACGTTTACAGGCTTATGATTCAATGCTTCTTTGTAGTATATAATAGCTTGATCATAGTCTCTTAAAGAGGATGAGTGATCAGCCATTGTTAAACAGATATTAGCTAGAAGTTGTTTTTCTTCTTCTAAACTGGAACCTGCCAAACGTTGCATATACCTATGCTGATTTTCCTTAGCTTCCTTCAATGCTGATAAAGCACCTTGAATATTATCTGCTTTTTCTCGAGTTTTAGCGAGTAGTAACAAAAGCTGACTACGCACTTCTAAGCTTTTTAAATCTGAATCACGTCGCCCGTCTAAAACGTGAAGAATTATTAAAGTAATTAAAATTAAGTTATAAAAATTGTATTGAACTATATTATGCAATTAAAATAATGTCTACCTTGTAGCTCTTGGATCAATGTAGCTTCCGCTTTATCGTACTGTTTCATTTTTATGAATAATTTTGCAAGATCCAATTTCAAGCTTTTAAAATTTTCCTGTTTCATCACATCTCTGTAATAATTAATGGCTTTTGTGTACTGATGTGTTTTTACGAGTGCAATTCCCAGATTACTTGCTATATGTACTTTATTTGTAGGATTCTGTTTTAAAGCTTGCTCATATGCTTCTATTGCTCTTTCTGGCTCTTGTATAGATATATATGCATCTCCAAGCATACTGTATGTCTTAGACCCAGGACAGTGTTCGACTAACTCTCTATAAAATAAAATATTTAAACAAATTGGAGAAATATAATAACATGTAAATTCATAAAGAACAAACCTGAAACATATAGCAAACGCAAGACGATCTTTTTTGTATTTCAAATTTATTTCAGCTAAACGCGTGTGCGCTTGCAAATAATAAGGTTGATCTGAAGTAACTTTAGATAAACAGTCAATGGCACCATCCAATTCCCCCATTTCTAAAAGTAGCTCAGCATTGCCTATTAATATTCTACCTTCCTCTGTAGTATTTTCAAGTTTTACCTTTGCATCCTGTACTACAGCTAATGCTTCATTAAATTGTCCTATTTTTCCATAAGCAGAAATTAATTCAAGGTACAAAGTTGCCATGTCAGATATTGAAATATCTAAGGTTTCTAGAGTACTTTTATGTGATTGCATCCCTGCATATGACATAGCTGTTTGGAAACTGTTTATCGCAGCTTCTATATCATTTGATTCTTTTTGAATACTACCACTGATTAAATGATAAATTGGATTATCTCTAATTTTAAAATTGTAACTTAAACCAACTTCAAGACTTTGTGAAGCAGTCTGGTAATTCCTTTGACGTGCTAAAATCTGAGCCATTAGTAAATGAGCTTTTGCATCGGATGAATCAACATTGTCTAAAAGATTTTTTACTATGCACAAAGCATCTTCTAAGTCTCCACTCTGCATTTTAGCTTTACTCAGTAATAATTGTGCTACACTTAAACCAGGATATGCTTCTGATAATTGTTCCAATAAATATAAACTTGGTTCTTCGTAATTGGATACCTTTTCCTCAGAATTTGTTGCATCATTTGTTATAGAGTAAACTAAACGTTGTCTAGAAATTTCTAAACATAAATCGGGATTTAATTTTTTCATATATTCATAACCATATGGTACATATTTACAATTATTTAATATGATAGTCGCTGCTTTGTTTAAATAATTTAAGGCTTTAGTGGAATCATTAGAATTCAATTTGGCTGACATGAAAAACAATTCTGCATCCACAGAATTTGATTGCATTTCCATTAAAAATTCTATCTGCTGTTGAGCCAAATCTAAGGCATCAATTGAAGTATCTAGAAGCTGACAATGTGCTAATCCCATTAGAGCAGCAAACGAAGATTCATTTATTCGAACAGCGCTTCTGTACCAATATTCCGCATCTTTTATTTTACCTAACGAAACGTATAAGTTTCCTAATTCTACCATAAGATCTGCACTTTTTGAATTCTGTTGTAATATCTTCTCAATGGTTTTAGAAAGTTCTGCTAAAATCCCTTGATTTTTACAAGCTATTCTCGAAAATAATTGCATATTGTTCACCAAAACTGCAACATTCTTTGTTTCTGTAACAATTATATTTCTAAAGAATGACTGTAAATGCTTTAGTCCTTCCTTGTAGTTTCCATCTTTGCAAAGATTAATAAATAAATATGCTTTTATCGCATCCAAGTTATTAGAATCAATTGAAAGTATTCTGTTCGCAGTTTCCAGAACTTGATCCCAATCTTTCAATGCAAGTTGATTATATAATTTTTCAATCAAAGGTAAACATAATTTAGGATAACGTACGATTAATGAATTCAATGTTAACATTGCTTCTGCATAATCACCATGTTGTTGCTTGTATTTTGCAGATCCAAGCAAAGCATTTACATTTTTTGGATCTTGTTCCAGAACAACTTCAAACAAACTTGGCTCGCTCGAATTATTTTCATTTACAATAAACAAATCTATCCATCCTTTTGTCAATAAAACGTTTTTATTTGACAAATCAAGCTTGTAAGCCCTCTCCACGTAATCTTTCGCTTTATCAATTTTTTGAGACAGGAATAATACTAAAGCTGCTAACGACAGCGCATTCGAAGATGATTTTCGTCTCTCATCTCTGATTCTTGTTTCAATCTGTATTACAATAGCTTTTTCAACAGTTTCATTTTTCATATATGCAATATTCTGAAGTAGCAATGCTGCTAACATGGTATCTGTATCATTTGTTAGGCTTGAACTTTCTTTGATTGCTTCTTGAACTTTTCCAGTTAAAATGTATGCTAAACTTAAAAGAATTTTTAAATATTTGTTTGTTGGATACACATCACATGCTTCTTTGCAATAATGTAACATGCCATTGTAGTAAAATTGATGACAAAACCATTCAATTAAAGTAATATATTCAATTTCTTCCATTTTATTAGCAATATGAAATAATAATGAATTTTAAATTGTAAATTGATAACTCGATTCAATAATTATTCAAAATTGCAGTAATTATGGTTATAAAAATATTTATTAAGAAGAATATATCAAAAAATCTTCTGGATCAGGTAATTCATATATAATATTCGGGTCTAAGGGTTCTGAATCTGGTCCTTCTAAAATATGTGGTGGTCCAACAATATATTCTTCAAGATCTGGATTCTTAACTGCAAGATAGTACTTCTGCATATATTCACATGTCAAGTACATATAGTAATAGTTCACAATAACATGTGTAAAAGCTGTCTGAAAATAAACATTATCATTATATTAATTTTATGATATATTACAATAAAAAATATAGTGGAAATACAAAACATAATTCATATTTAATAAACATTTACTCAAAATTATTAGAAATTTGAAAATAAATTATACCTCTGTAAGCAATCGTGCTATACCTCTTCCAGTGTATCTATAAGGAACACTAATCACTTGCATATCTAAGACTTTTCCATCAGGCCTGTATTGTAATACTGCTCTTGCTAATCAAAAATAAAAGCATATACATTTTTAAATAATATTTATCTATATTCATAACATAAAAATCAAGTCTTTTAACTATCTTTTTCATTTTTTTAAACAATATTAAATACACATTAAAATAATAACTTTTTGTATAATATATCTTACAATTATCATCCAATTTTACGTAAAATAATCCTCGTTTCTCATTATGATGCACTGTATAAAAAAATCTTGCAAATTTATTATGTTTAATTTGTAATGATATAAATGACGATAATTTGTTCATGTAACTCATACCATTTATTGTGTATGAAATACTGGTAATAAAGCACTTCTTAATAATTTCAATTAAACATATACTTACATAATCATTAAAATTTATAGGACATATACTTTTTATATATGTAGGTTAGAGTTTTGTTGGCAAACAGTTGCTTAGCAACAGCTTTGGCAGAAGTATATCGTTTTAACTGATAATATTTTCTTCATGATAAGAAATAAAACAGATATATAAATTAGTAAAAGCACATAAAAAAAAATTGTTTTTCAATAATTCTTTTTAAAGTATTTTAAAGTATATATTTATTTATTGATATTCAAATTTGTATTTAATAGTATATTACTGTTATGACAAAGATAGATTATTCTTAACGATGCAAGGTGAATCTGCCCTTAATATTCAATGATGGCGAAACAAACCTATAAACATTAATGCATATTGATATAACAATATAATATCAACATAAATTTGAACTGTTGCAAATATAACTTCATCTGGGTTTAATTCTATTCTTCTTCCACCCATAATTGTTTGCACATCAAAATACAAGTACTAGAAAATATATAATATATACTTTTTTAATTCTAAAATGTTTTCCTCAAAATAAAGTATATTGCATTTAAATTAAATAGTTTCTTAAACAAAAATATGTACATATATATATATATTAACTCTATATTAACCATTGATAATAACAGCATTCCTATAACTGATATCATTATATGTAATATTTTTACATATGTAAACATCAGGATTATTATCATAGTAAAAATTGCAACAATAGAAGCCAGTCCAACAATCAATATCAATCCTGTCCTCATTGTCAAATCAAACTGTAAGATTATTTAAATTATTTATATTTTATGTGCCACATAAAATACTTCAATTAAAATACCTTAGAAAAAGTTGCAACAAGACTTATTCCTAAAGTAATTAATGTTGTCATCCCTAATGCCATCAAAATTATTTCCATCTCATAAAAGACAGAGGCAAAAGCAGCTAAATATGACATAGCAAGTGTCTAGAAATACAAATTTTTTTATATTGACTTTAACTAGAAGAAGGTATTTAATTACTAAAGTTTTAATACACTTAAAACTTTACCAATGTGCATAGCCATATATAATTATAAGGTGGATTACGTCTAGCTCTCTCAGAGAAAGATATGACACAATAAGAAATGGTGAAGCATATCCTAATAAAATGATGAATAATTATTTACTGAATGATATATCTAAACAGTTATAAAATTTACGTACATAGCTATAATCCAAAAATACCAATGAATTATCATAAATTTTCTAGCAGTATCTCTGTAATGAAGTTGTTAAAATAATATAATTCATTACATCAATTGATATTATCAAATAATTACTGGATCATAATGCTTACACGAAGAGAAAAATTGCTATGATACCAGTTGAAAATAATAATTGAAGTGTTAATATACAGAAGACTTTTCTAATAAAGCTCCTTCTCACTGTGTCTTCTTTAAAATCACCTATATAATCTAACTCATTATCATTTGGACCCATTTCTCTTCTTCGTTGTTGCTCATGCCATGCTCTATATAACTGTTCATTCTCTCTTATTCTCTGTTCTACCATTTCGTCTGTAACGATAGTGGTATATGGTCCCTGTTAAAAACCATAATATTAATTTATAAATATATGAACATATTATGATTCTCATTACTCACTGTTTTTATCTTTTGTCCTTTGTACAAAGGAGGAAGTTGTGGAGGACCTGGTATAAATTTTTGGGATTCTTGAATTTGTTCCATTGAGTAATTATATTGATGGTAGACTAATAAATATTTAAGTTAGTAGTTATGTACTATAAATATATAATAAAATGCACAAAATACATTAAATATTAACACGCCCTGTATTACTATTTTACAATAAAAGCTATTGTAAAATATTTTATTCTAGGAGAAACGTGTTAATACACAAATAAACCTTGATAAAATTGCATACTTATAAATTTATACTTACAAAAAGTTGTTAATTTCTCAATTTTATTTAAATATAAAATTTTAAGTTCCTAATGTAAAAGCAGTACATAAAATGTCAAATCATTGATTCATAGATAAACAAATGAATATATTCTGTGATGTCACAAAATAAATTGTTTGAGTTTAATAGATAAATATACATATATATGTATTTTTAAAAAGAAGGAAGTAGAAAGCAAAAGTTATTTTACTTCTCTTATAATAATATAATTTGTTTATGCAAATAATACGTAATAATACACATGGAACTTTCTTTAACAATAACATAATCTAGATAGAGCATTCGTTCTAAACATAACTGTAATCAGATAGTAACATATATCTTATGAGCTTTGGGAAGTATAATACAATAACTTTGAATTTTTTTAACTCTTTCAGTTATACATTTAATTAAACAATGCCGTAACAAAAGCTATATAATATTCACAGACATACAGAGTGTTTCTAAGAAGTAAGAATAGAAATAAAAAATATAAGTGGTCAAATAGTAATAGTTTATAAAATATGTTTTAAATAAGAAATTGCACAAAAATTGAGCAATATTTTATATGAAAAGTATTTGATTTCTACATGCATATAAAATTTTGAGGATACATATTTAAAAAAAATGATATATTTTCGTATATTTTAGTTAATTATGCAGCTTTAGAAACATTCTGTACGTATATATACAATAATAATACAGTTACACAGGTACACATATAAGTTATTTGAACATAGGGTGTGCGCTTATATATCCATTATATGTACATGTGTACAGAGTAAATAATTCTTAACTTATTATTAAATAATACAAAAATGTAATATTATTACATGATGGCGATTTTTTATCAAATATATTAATAGGAAGTCTTCCAAGAGATAAAGTATTCAAGTTGAATTAATAAAGTATTCAATTTGCATTTTTTCTAAATTGCTATAAAAGATAGATGTCTATATCGATTTTTGCATATAATTTTTTATACGAAATTAATCGTCTATTTAAGTTTCGGCATTATGCATTATTTTATAAAAACAATTTCAACTTAGTTTTTACTATTTTATAAATAATATGTTTTAGAATAAATTACATTATAGAATGTGATGATACATATAAAAAATTTTAACAACGATAAAAACTAGAATGATAATTTCGTATCATATTAAAGAACGTGTCAGTTAGGTTATTATCTAGATTCAATGAAAGCGTCACAAGCGTCGTAGAAATCTTCCTAACAATATAACAATAAATAACAAAACAATAAATATAAAACTATATACGCATTTTTCTCTACTTCTAATTGATTCTGATTAAGTATCAGTCTTATAAATGGTAGAAAGCTCTGTTATAATATATATGTATATAGAGAATATACAAAATTTAGCTTGTGAAGTTAATTGAAATTTATGGCGCTCAAGCATTATCAGTTTAATTAACTGTATTCAAATATTAGAGTACATATTGCGCATATTTATTATTATAATTTTTTGGTATTATAATCCATTTTGATCAATTTGTTGTTGTATTTTATTGCATAAAAGCTGTGAAATTTATGAAAAATGTATTACTTATTTTTCTCTAACAATAAAAAAATTTGTTTAAATAATTTTTGGCTATAAAAAATAGATATTAATACCTAAATATGTAACTTACCTGTCTTACATTATAATCAGGTATTAAAATTATTTTTGATTGATCTGCACTACCAAATAGATTTCCCAATTTTCTCTTATTAGTATCCTTAACAAATATCTGAACTCCCCTATCAACTAATTTAGGTAATTCGCTCATTTCTTGCCATGTATGGGTCCAATGTACCTATATAATTAAAAGCAATTAAATATTTAATTTTTTTAATACTGATTTATTCTTTAATTTTCAAAAATAGGGCATTTATAAAACATACTGACCCGCCATCCACCGAATAAATCACTGTGCTCTAAATATGCTATTCTCTTATCAGTAAGCAATAATACATCTTTGTTAATATACATATGATAAAAATAGATATCAGTATTTGCGTATTTTCCTTTTTCTAATTCCTATAAAGAAACTTTCATAAATACTAAGACATATTAAATACAAAAAATATTAATTACTTACACTTAAGATTTTATGTCCCTCAGCTTGTTTTCGAACATATGGTCTGACTAAGTTATCTGGTTGCAAAAATCTAGATGGCCTCACTTTTTTTACTTCTTCATGCAACTCAGTTGCACTGAAAAAGAAAATAATTTTAATTATTCTTATACTATAATTGAATGTAGACTATAATCAATGTATAAATTGATAAAGAGAATTTATTTTTATACCGTTTCACTGCTCCGAATGAACCACTGGCAAAATCTATAACTCCAGCAGTAGGTCTAGTAACAAGGCCAACAACGCCTTTTCCAAATCCCTTACAGAATCCCTGCACACCTTCTTCTTTAGCACCCGATATGGGTTTCATTACAACACCAGTTACACCATCAACAACACCCTAACATTTATGCATACAATTTATTCACGTCTTATTTTATTATAAGTAAAAGCTATATCAAGTTCTATTCCTTAATTTTAATTACCATTACTAAACCTTTACCGCTACGAGCAAGACCTTCTTGCAAATTGGCTGGTTGTTTGTTAAGCTGTTCTTGCCGTTTTCTCTGATAGTCTTTATCAAACGTTAAGGCAGCTATACCTTTGCCTATGATAACAATAATAAGTTTGAATGACACAGTGATATTAAAAACGAAATAACAGTACAAAAGCTAAACATACCCATAGCTCCAGTTATTTTGGAAACAGCACCCGCCATTCCTCCAACAGTATGGCCTAACATGCTTCTCATACCAAGAAGCAAACCTTCAGCAAATTCTCCAGGTCCTTGTATAGCACCTTGGAAAGGTTCGTAGAATAAATCTTCGATGCCTTTCATAGTGCCCACTACAAGACCATATGGATTGCCTATTACATCGAGTCCCAAAACGAGAACGTAAGCTTGCTTAATCGCTTGTCCTACGTAATGCATTGTAGCTTCGGAAATAAGTTGTTTATGCGTCATAAAAATATATTCTCTCTCAAAATACGCTAATCTGTGAAGAAAATGGAAATATATTTTGCATATATGGCTTATCTATTACTAATAAAATTTAAAATTTAATTATGAAAATTATTACTTAAAGACAATATCGTTAATATCAGTTAACGTAACACCTATTCCTTGTAATAATACATTTAATACTTGAGGTACTGCAGAAGGCCCGCTGCTGCTACCAGTCATTGAGAAACTTATGTGAATCTGCAAAAATAATATTAGTTATAGAAATATGTTAACTATGAAATACGATTACGATTATTTTAAAACTTAGAACGAACTTTCAAAGGAGAGAAGTGTAGTAAATCAAAGAAGTTTTTCTGTTCAGCTGTAGTAATTAAACTGACATGATACATTAATGGTTCATCAACGAGTTTCGTGTCCAATTTGAACAATTTTCTCTAAAGTATAAAAAAGAAACAATTATTACATTATTTTGAAGCTTTGTATCTTATTTTAGTATAATAGTACTTACTTCTTCCGTATCGTTCATTTCATTTGTTTCAAATATTCCCATGATTGCATTAATAAATACAATATCCACTTTTACATGAAACTCTTGTACAAGAACCTTAAAGTACCGAAATTGCTGTACATTACTATGTTCAAGTAATTGTTTAACCATACTAAGTTCAGCAAACGGTTTCATAACTGTTAAAAAATAATTTAGTGAATATATATAATCAGATACAACATTTATGTATATTTTAATTTTTAACGTAAAAATTTACCAGTACTCGCTGTGACACTCTTTGGTGGTGGAACTGGAGCCAATATAACCGGGAAAACACAATCTGCTAGTTGATTATCAATTTGCAATCTGTTAATCTTTGCATGTAACTGCACTTGATGCGCTGAAGTACGGTATTGCAACCATAAACCAGTTTGGAAAGTTCGTCGCAAACAACGACGATGTGGTTTTAACATTTCCATATTTAGATAATCTATCTAAAATTAAAATTAATTCAATAATAACATTTATGAATTAAAAAAATATACGTGGAATGATAAATTGTGAAATTATTGTTTCCATGTATTACCTCTAATTTTGGTTCAAGCAATATTTTTTGTGTCGGATCTTTTCCTATTTGTAATTCACGCATATATTTTTGATAGCCTTTTTCTATAACATTTACCTCTCTCGTGCTAAGACCACGCCAACGATGAGTAATAGATTTACGCGTTTCCCATATAATTTCAGAACTAAACAATAAAATTTGACAATGTTTAAAAATTATAATAATAAATTTTAGTAACAATAAAAATTAAAATTATAAATATTTAAGTTATTAATATACCTAGCTATACATAAATATAACAATTCAGATCGCGTGATGTTATTAACGAGTGAAAAACCAACTCCATGAATACTTATTGTCACTTCTTGTTCTATAGCTTCGAAATCACCCGCCAATTCACAGTCTTCTGCAACTTTCATATTTGTTGTAAACAGAAGTACCCGTTGTGTACCATCCAAAAACGATACATAGAACACTTCTATGTCTAAATCTGGTAACTGAAAAGCTCCTAAAGTATCCTACAAAATGGGATTTTCAATATTGTAGAACTTCAATAATTCAAATCAATAAATGTTATTAAATATCGAATATTTACTTTTCGTAGAGTTTCTTCAATTTCTTTTTTATTGTTATCTTCCCAAACTAATCTTCGCGATCCTGCAGGATTTTCCCAAGTATAAAACATTCTATTGTTTGTTTGTACAGCTCTACAAAATAATTTACATTATAAACATAATAATAATAAACTTTGTTAATAAATAATCGTACCTGACATTCAATGATCCTTTTTCCCAGAAATTGATAGTGTATGGTGTATGATTAATAATTAAAGCTGGAGCATTTCCATGAGTATAAACAGATAAAGAAATGTAGACTCCACCTTCACTTATTTGTATATCTACATTAATTCCCCCATACTGTTAAGCAATAAAAATTATAAAAACATACGAATTATATGTTACAGAGAAATAAAAACAGCAAACCTTATTATTCAATTTCAATAAAGTCGTATGACTCTCTGTATATAGAAATGGTGCAGTTTTCTCAGGATCACCCATAATTCTAGCTCTTAGAGTTTTCTGATCATGTTCAGAATGCGGCCAAAGGGCCATGCATTCTCCGGGAGAAACCTATAAATAAATGAAACAGTAAACCATTTTATTTAAATGATATTAGTTAACAATGTACTAAATAAAATAATTCTAGCCCTCAAATAATCAATTACCTTAATCATAGGATCAGCTGGTCTATTACCTTCTTGGCATTCAATAAAATAATTGGAGTTATTTATTAGTACATAATATGGAGTAAATGTAATTTGTTTTGTTAAAGAATTACAAGTCAATTGATTGTGAACACCAATCTGTAATTCATAAAAAATATTACTGATCTAAAAATGTAATGTTTAAATAATAGAATAATAAATAATTGCATAAAAAACCATATTAACCTGATATATTAAGCCATTATATTTACAAGTGACCACTCCATCACTTCCTGCAACATCTATTGGAAATTCATCAGACCATTCACCATCTTCCACTCTAATCATTGCCTTCTTTTTACCAAAGAATGCTTTGGAGCGAAATGAAAACAATATTGGTCCCTTAAAATTCTCTGGGTGGTAAAGTACATTTACATAGTCTTCTCCACTCTGAAAATATTTGCATAATTAAATTCTTGTATCCGCACTAATTATTATTTAATTACACTGTGCAATTATTTGCATTTTTTAACATATTTATACAATATTATATTACACCATTAGATGAAAAATTACTATAAACAATAATTACCAACACCAGTTAGTTTTATTTTATGATATTAATTATGTATTTCAATAATCAGCTTGAATTTTTTAATTTTTATATACTTCGAATTTTTCTATTAAATCTAAAGCTATCATACAACTTTTCTAAAAATTTGTTGCATTATATCTGTAAGTGCTGTTTAATTTTATAGCAATTATATCTTATATTTGCTTTAGTAATGGATGTACAAGTGTACAAGCAATGATAGTTTATTCACAGCATAAAAAAGTATGTGTAATGTTGCAAAATTATAATACCACAATAAGCCAACAAACAACAAAAACAAAACATGAGTGAAGCTTAATATATCATCTATTGATTTTGGAGAAGTATATTTATAGATCATTATTAATGAACGATTATATTTTTTTTAATAAAAAAGGAACGATTAATAACATATAATTAGTAAAAAGCACTAAAAACAATACGTAGCAAGATATAAAATATTAAAATATAGACATAGATAGTTAGATGAATGTAATAGAGTGTATGGAAAAGTTGTTCTATGATTCAAATTAAACCATCACCAATATAAAATGAAATCAATATATCACCGAACGTGCTTTCTTCTTCCTGTATTCTGCACGTGGTTGATGAGGTTTCACACAAACCAAATTCTGAAAGATACCTTTTTATGTACTTTCCTAAGATCGTCAGTAATAAAATTAATTTTTTCAAAAATTTTATATGAAAAATCTATATAATATTTATGATTTTACCCATGAGTTTTACAATCGATATAAATAAGAATTTATTTCGAAAAGCTATTTGAATATTCTATAACATGCTGCTATACTATTATTTTCAACAAATATGCTTAATTTAAACAGAAAAAGAAGAAAATATAAAAATTTAGCTTCGAATTTAAAGATGCACTTTTCAAAGTAACTATGGAATTTTTAAATTTTGTATATAAAAAAAAATATAACTATCATCATATAATAACAACTCATATTGCATTCAAAGCATGAAAAGTATTGTAACATGAAATCACTACCTTGACTGGACTTGAGTGTTCTTTGCCACCCTTACTTGATTTCTGTAAAACAATGTATTGAATAAGATATGATCATAGAAGATTAAAAATTTGCAACATTATACTACTTCCAGTATGCATAATATGGTATTACATTTACATATAGCACAAAAATATTATAACTCAAGCATTGGTTACATATTAATTACATACAATGCAACTGCTAAAAAGAAATATATTCTATTACTTAGTATATTAAAATATTTTGTTACAATGTTAAAATATCTATTTAAAAGCAGTTTATTCACAAATTTCCAATAAAAAATGTCATAATAAGTTCAAAACTTATCAATTCTACTCAATTATTTCCAATAGTAATTTAATAACAAACACTTAAAAAATATATATATGTATATAAGTATGATAATAAGCAAAATTTACATAAAGCAAAAAATAAAATTATCATCATTCAATTAATTGTTAAGAATAATTTTGATAATACTTACCGGATAAGATAACATTAAGCCTGTTTTATTTAACATCCAAAATGGACAATATAATGCCATAACAATAGAACCATGTTTATATGATGTATGCATTCCCAAATCCATTACAGCTTTTTGTGCACTGTCAAAAGATTCAAAAGACCATACAGAAAATTCTGCTGGATTCGCTATTATTTCACCTCTGCATGACCAATCTTTTTCTAAATAATTTGGTAACTGTAACATATTATTATAATTCAATAAAGTTTTATAAAAATGATTACTATATAAAATACTACATGAATCACCCTGTACAGAAATTTATGATTTACTTACCTTTATAATTATATAAGATTTTCCAGGATCAATTGTAGGAATCTGATAAGTTGTTCCAGCTTCTAAAAGTTTCTCTTGTACAGCTCCAGGTAGACACACAATAATATCAATAGGCAAAAAATTCTTCAAATATACAGGTGGGTATAAATGAACATTATAAATCGTACTTGCCATAGTGTGTCGACTAGTATTTTCAAAATAAACCTGTTCCATTTCACCAACAACCTGTAAATGTTATAATATATTGTTAAAGTATAAGAATTTTTTCTAAATATAGAGATTATTCTTTCCCTTCTATATATTCTATTATTTTTGGTACTACTATCTAAATAATAAATGACACTTTCATTGTCTTTCTTTCACGCTATTATTTAAGTAATAAACGACACTTTCAAAACATAACAGTAACAGGACACTCATATTCTATAATATGAATAAAACAAAATACATGCAATGAATACATTATACTAAATACTAACATAAATTTTCAAAAACTATTCAAATATTTTATACAGAATAAAAACTAATTTAAGTATTATGCATAATATATTACAAAAACTTGTTACTGAAATACATAAAAATAAAAATTGTGTCTATAAAAATAATTGAAAGAAAAGAAATCCTATAAAGTAAAAAGATAATATTCTTTGGCTTAATTTAATAACTAAAACTTTTAGTATTTAACAACAAAGAATTCAATATGATATAAAAATAATCTCTTTGTTTTCCTTTTTCTTGTTTCATGATAATTATATTATTAATATAATGCAATTAGATATTGTAACTAAAATCATGCCAATAACCATTTTCAATCAAACAAATAGGGATCTCATAATAACACTGTCCAACAAATTTCAACTTTTTCTCTAATCTATAATATCCATTAGATGGCTCTTATAAAGTTAACTTTCTTGAATACGAATCCATAATCGAAATTGTTTTATCACTGTGCATTTTTAGAAAAACTCATATTTTTCAAAAACTGAGGGTGATAGTGTAATTTCGATCACGAATTCGTTTTCAGGAAAGTAAACTTTACAAGAATTACTCAATGGATATTACAAATTAAAATTTGTGTTGAACAGTGTAATCAGTATAATAACTAATATGTACCTTACAGTACTATTTGTTATAGGTATACATTCACATTAAAAATATTAACTATTTAATAACAATAGTAAAGATATTTATTTAGTTGATACTCAACGTATACTAAATAGCAACTGGTTTTCAAACTAATTTAGAAAAAAATGGTAGTACCTGAATAGGTGCTTCCAGATATTTTTTGTGCTCTGAGGATAAATTTTTCAAGCAAAGATGCTTGACGCAATCAATGAAACGGCAGAATATGGATCGCCAGTTAATAGCATTCAATAATAAGCCAATAGTGTTGTTATTATATAAAATACTACCAACCACAACCATCACGAAAAACATCTAAAAGTAAAAACTGCTGCTTATAAAAGCATGTAATATCATTTTTAACGAAATCTTGTTTAATCACAGCATAAAAAAAGAAAGAAAATTAAACGTATTGTTTCACTGTATCACTATCAAACATAATCGAAACATCGTGAATAATAGTTGTATACGTACTACACAGTGTGAAATTTCGAAAGATCAAAATAAAATATAAGAATTTTCTAAGTGTACACAAATAAATAAACTTATATGAATTTGTTACCTTTATATAAAATGGTTCTATTGTTTCTTGCTTTATTCGAGCTTCGCATTTTAAGAGTTTTGTCATACTGACTGTCTTTTGAAGATCCTTCCAAATAAATTGATCTAATGAAACCATATATCTAGAAATTAAATTAAATAAATTTACAAAACATAAAAAAAAAATGTAAAATTCAGATTTGTATAGGAATATAAATTACCCTTCAACGCTAAAAAATAGCCCATAGATATTTGTTGGAGTATATACGGCGTGTAATGGAAGATTTAATTTACTATCTGGAGCAGCAGTTCCAACACATTCAACTTCATTTCCGCGTTTAGTCATATAATATACAGATATTGGTTGACTAAAATGATTATGTACCTAAAATACATATAAAGCGTTATTAACTGTTAACTATTCTTAAAGCTTAAAAATAACAGTTGTTGTAATTCACCTGTAAAATACTTCTAAGAGTAACAATAGTACTGCCTTCGTCTACTACAACGTCGGAAACAATACCCCATTCTTCCGAACTATCTTTTCGATATTTTAATGAAAAGAACCTTTTGTCAGCTCTTAAAACAGGTATCGCCAGAGTTCCGTGAATTTCTTTAAACTTTTAAAAATATTATATATTAACAAAATATTATTTCATTTAAATAAAATAAATTCATAAATTTTGATTTTGAATATAATACCGAAATAATAAACTTATCGTCTTCCCGTTCTTTAATTGTTTCAGTTTTCAATTGATCAAGCAATGGTATTTCCGTTTTTGTTGTTCTTGAGGCTAGTTCTACTGATGCACCAGATTCAAGAATTACTTCCATGTACGAATTTGTATTACTGCTCGTAAGTTTTAATCGATCATTAAAAACCTAAAATGAATATTTTACAATCTATAATATTTTTATAATTAAAAGACGTAAATAAATCGAATAAAAATAAACCTTGAAGTGACTGCGTTCTAAATCTAAGACCATTGCTAAACCAGTTTCATTCTTAAGTACATATGGGGCCACACTCTTTGCAGTTCCTTTTCCACTAGCTTCCATGGCAGACGAAAATGCATTACCAAGTTGTTTTAGTACATCCAGACATGTTTTGGTTACTGTTATTTCTAAATTTTCCTATTACAAAATATCATAAAGATTTTATATATAATATGTAATAAAAAATTGATACACTATTAACTTACAGTAGATATTATGTCGATAGACATTTTGGGAGTTTGATGCAATTCTTCTGTTTCACTATCTGATGTGGGACTCACTGCACTTATGCCTCTAGAATCCGCAGATACATCATTGAATTGAATCTAGAACGCAAAAATAAAACAAAATAAATAAAAAATCTATAAAAAATATAAGGTATTAATCTCTTATTTAAATATTACTTTAACTATTAGTTCCCAGGGTGTTGAAACATGTTCTTTATTTTTGATCACCTCAACTGGTTCAATCAATGGTTCCCACAATGCCAAACAACTATTGTAATACGCCATAATTACCGACATTGTATATTCTATGTTCATCTAAAAGTATTTAATCTTTTAATAAATATTGTAAGGAAGATCGTTATTAAAGTTTGTTTGTAATTTGTAACATTGTAAAATCAATGTTTCTTACAGTTTTCGTACTCCAGTCGCTAATATTACTTTGGAAACCGATGTGAAGTAAAAGCATTGGTAATGTTTTATTGCCGACTCCTGCTTCCAATGTGAACAGAATTGTTGGTGCAGAGATTATTGCTAATTCCGGTTTATAAACTGTAGTATCTTCATCATCAGAGTATACAAAATCTTCTATAGTCTCTGCTCCTAATTCTAAAAAGGAATATACATATCATGTTAATTATTTATATTATTTTTTATGAATAAAAAGAAAGGAACGAAAAAAAAATATATTTTACCTGTTTTTAAAAACCAAAAATCACTTTCTTTAAACGGTGTCACGATCCACAATCCTTCATAATTTTGTTCAGTAATAATAACTTCCTCATCTTTCACATCCGTTTTCGTAACAGAATGAATGACTTTATTCAATATTTCTATGACACCTATAAATGACAATATTAGTTGATGATTCTGTTATGGTATTGTATATCAATAGCTTATTGAATTACCTGGAGAAACTGATAAGTGAATATCTGTGCAGCAAATATCAATGTGAAGTCCTTTTTCATCTGGTGTAGAGCCTGCTACACTTATACTACATGGTCTTAGAACCTTTACAAAATTGTAACAGTTTAATGATATTTTATATATAAATAATAAAGTATATAATGTAAATGAAGATTTTTATAAAAATACTTACCTGGTATATCCAATCACTCCTTTTCATAGGATTGTATATACCAGCTGAAATCGACAAATCTTTTATGGAACCTGTTATTATTTGATGTTCATCCATCAAACGTACTTTCAACAATAATTCGGTCTTAAAAAATATAATATACATGTAAAAGAAATAGTATATAATGTAGAAACAATATTCAATAATAAACAAATATCAAATGAATATTACATTTAATATGATACAATTGGAATTTATGTCATCCATGTTTTCCAATAAAATAATATCAGGTTTTTCAATGTGCACATTAATAGTAAACATTTTTTTAGTTGGTGTAGTACTTCGTTTCTTTTTAACTATTGATTCATTATAATTCTTTGGAGCATGTTGGGATGCTGACTTATTTGTTGATGGAGCGTCAATAGTAAAAAAATCCTTCACTTTCATTAGATAATCAAGTGATACAATTATACTAAATGAAAAGACTCGAATATCAACTGAAAACGAAATTCTATTAAAACCAATTATAATATATTAAATAATATTATATAAATTTTTTTTAGTAAAATTGTAATAGAAAAAAAAATATATTTTTTATTACACAAAAAGCAATATTTTACAACTTACCAAATGTATCATTTGAACTTTGCCTAATAGTCATATCTAACATACTACGAATAGGTTTTGATTCTTTTTCATCATCATCCATAGAAGGTACTGCTGTAGTTCTTTCCATGATTCTTGTTAGAGAACCTTGTCTACTTTGTCGTGTATCATCCAAAGTACAGTTCATAAGAAGAATTGAAGTTGCCATTAAACCATCGGCAAATATTCGGCCTTTTAACGCGAAATGAGTCAAACAGAATTTCGCTAGTCCATTTTCTGGTAAATGAAGTAGAGAACTTTGTGATTGTAGCTGTAATTAATTTCTATAATTTATATCTGTTTGCAATAGTATCAAATAATACTTGTAAAGTAATACATTCTTAAAACGTACCATTTTTGAACCTCCCGTAAATAAGGTAATTACGAGACTATCCATAACAAATTCAAATTTAATGGATGTATGTATATGTACTTGTTCTTGAAGATTTGTATCTTCTGAATCTTCTCTAGTAGCTGTCGCAAATTTGTCTATTTATTTAAAAATATAATTACTTTATAATTACTTATTTAACATAATTATTTACTAACTGTAAATTAGTTAATAATAAATAAAGTAAATTATTTATATTTACCAGTTTGACGATGTTGTAAAACTTCGACTTCAAGCTTCTTTTCAGCTTGATTAATGCTTGTTGTCAATTTTTTATCTTCAACTGTTTCACCTAAATTCTTTTCTAATACTTTCATTGTAGTTGCATAATCCTCTTTACTTATCAATATATTAATTTTATTTAATCTACCAGACATATCAATGTCTGGTATAGATGTGAACCAAGCAGTGGATAAATTACGTTTCATAAGTAATGTAAAACTAACTGGTTCTAATAGTAATATTTCATTTTCAACTGTAAATTTCTCCATATTCAATCTCACTCTATTGAAAAGATAATACATTGAATAATTGCAAATAAAGTTATACAAATTAATTGTTACATTTTGTTGACAGTTAATTATTACCGTGATAGCTTTAAATTTTGTAACTCGATTCTCATTTCATCAACAACAGGACAATCACCAGCGTCATTTGTAACTTCTAGCTTTTTAAAAATATTACATACAGTAAGATTACCCATATCAAGCGTTAAACACTGGTCACTTTTCGAATGCATTGGTACATATATAACAGGAGCCTAAATAACATATAATGTTCAAAATTTAATAAATATAAAAATTTAACGTATTTTAATATTTACCTTAATTTTTACCGCAAGCCCGATACGTGCGGCACTTTCTTTTACATCTTTAATATTTGTTTTCGCTGCTTCTGCCGCTGCTGCTGAGGCGTCTTTTATGGCTTGTTGAGCCGCTTGAAAATTGTTCAAGAAGCTCTAAAATATCAAATATGTATTAACACTTTTTATGAATTAAAATATTTTGATGACTATATAAAATTTGCTTACCATTATACTAGTGACAAACATATTTAAGAAAACTATTCGGTAACAACCCATAACAACTGTAATGGACATATTATTTTTATCAATTTCTGATGGATCAATATTATATATTATAGCCTGAATTTGTAAAGATTCTGTATCTTCTATCACTGATACAATCTATACACCAAAAGAAATTACTTACATTAATATTAATTCAATTATAATATCATATCAAAATCATTATATAAACATAAATATTCATTATTATATAGTACTAATCATATTAATATTATATGCAAAATATGAGAAACCAATAAACAAAAATTAAAACTTACATCTTTATAAGCTGATACTGCATTAAGATCTTTAATACTGATAGAAGATAAATTAACATTTGCTTGAGAATAGGAAGCTTTCATTATAAACCCGGCAGTGATACCATCGATATAAAATGCAGTAATTTCTCTAGAATCGCTAATTATCTTCATACAAATAGTTCCAACCTTTGCTTGTATCTTTAAATCTATGTGCTCGATCACTGTCCTTTTCCGACCTAAGTACATATAATTATGATTTAGTTAAATGCTTATAATTATAATTTAAACTTTAAAATAAAACAAAATGTAATAGTATTTACGTGATGTTGATCTAATTTTTTGTTTTTGAATTTGTTCTTTTAAAAACGTAGAAGTTTCTTCTTGAATAGAAACCAAATGTGTAGGACGTGGACGCATATGAGACCCTTTCTCGGGTTTACTACTTGCTATTGTATTCATTTGATCCTACAATTTCGGTATAAAAGAGTACAATTTATTTATAGACACAAAATTTGTTGCTGTAAATTACCTGCATATATGATATAAATTGAAGAAGATTTATAAGCGCTTCTTGATGCAATAGAACATCTAATGTTGTAAATTCTAATTTTAATAATTTAAGAACAGATCCATGTTTTGTTTTAAATTCAGGAGATCGCTTATTTACCTAAGAATGAATAACAAAATTAATTTGCATGCTATGAGCAAATTATTTACCAATATAAATTTATTTACTTACATTTATATACTGTACTGTTATCAAATATTCGTCTCTACCAGACAGCATAGGTGTGTTTACCATAAATATTTCTGTTTGATTATAATGTTGTTTTACTTGAACTCCTCCCAATCTTAATAATATTTCTTGATCATAAGTTCGTTGTAACATTTCTGCTTCTAACTGTAGTATATCGAATTTCATAAATGGTATTATTGCACTGCCTTTTTGGGATGAAACTTGTACTGCAAATTCTAGAATATATAACATAATCGTTAACTGAATATTAAATTACTTACAAAATATCGTTCATTACCTTTCATTTCAAATTTCATTTCCATATCTATCGTTTGTTTAACTACAGCTGCAGTAGAAAATTCTTCCTTTTTCTTCTCAGAAATAGTGCTGGTTATATCTCTTAGCAAAGACAATTGTGAAACAGACTTGCTCTAAAAAAAGAAATGTACTGTGATCAAAATAAAACATCCAGTAATCAATACATAACAATTGTACATATAATACAAAATATACCAAGGATAACTTATGAAGTTCTGTAGGTTCCTTTTCTTTTGGAAGTGGAATACTTTGAGCAATAGAGAGGGCTTGTAATAAACGAATATCTAGGAAAATAAAAAAAAATTATGTATTACCAATACATTAATTATTGAAAAAAAAAAATGTTATTTCAATATACCTGTTATATTAATGACAACTGATGGTAATTGTCCTATCAATCTAAGTTTTGGAAGTAAAGGATCATCTGTTATTAAACATTTGTGAAACTGAATTTCAAGCATTGTTGGGTGTAATAATGTTATAGAATCATCTACACTTGGTAAAACAGTGCGCCATTCTTCACCTGGCAGTGAAACTAGTACCTATATTACAAAATATATTTTTGACACAAATACTTATATATTTCAAACCTCAGGGATTAAAAATACATACTTGAAAATCAACTATCTTTAAAACAAATTTGTCATAACTATGTTCTCTAAGATGTAATAACACATCTTCTTCGCTTTTGCCCATACTAATTAATTGTTTAACAGATACGTTCGCTTTAACATCTTTTGGTTTTTCTAGAGAATGTATTTGTAAACTACCAAGATTGACAACTAACACAGATTTTGTGTTGTTATAAAATCCATCATGTGGTATAATTAATTGAGAAGCTTGCATATTAACCTGTTAGATATTTGTATTTTTTTATTCATGTTAAATATTGTCCATCATAATAAATGTATATTATAAAATTAATATTTACCTGTATATCTAATACTGAATGCTTCTGAATAGCATGTTCCAAACCTAGAGCTGACATTTCTTTCAAACCTTCCAGTTGTTCTGCAGCAGCTGCTTGAAGACTAAATAAAAAATATAAAGCAAGTATTAAAATCTAAAAAATTTGTTAAAATGTCAAAGATAAAAAAAAGAAAGAAATATACAATATATTCTTACTTGTTTAAAGTCGACGAATTTTGTACTTTAAATAAATTAATTAATTCTATCACTGTTTGTGCATCATAAATAATATCTACAGATTTAGATTTTACTATAACACGGTCACCACATAATTTATCAAGAGGATTCTTTTCATATGACACAGATAATAAAACATTATCTGCACCATGCTGATGTGAATTAAAAAGTGAAGGAATTTGTTCATCCTGTTTTGTTCCCAATAACTTCATCTCATTGATTGACACTGCAACTCTATAACAACGAAAATATTACAACATTACAATTTAATTATTCAAACTTTTACAATAAAAATAAAACACACGTACAAAATGCCATTAGCAGAAGGTCTTGACTTAAAGCAAGCCTGAACACTATGAAGCTGAAGATCCAGAATACAAGGATGTTCTTTATCCGTATCTAAAATTATAATTTGTAGCTCATGTAAAAGAAATCGTGTATCAATCATTTCATATGTTTCGGGATAGTGAGCTGGTGCACTGTTTTCTTGATAATCAATCGCTCTATATAATTTTTCTTTCTCTTGCGGCGTCATTGCTTGCTCGAATTTTCTCACTAGGATGAATATTTCCATAAAAAGAAATTATTTAAAAGATTATAAATATTTTAATATAATATATTGTAAAACTTGAGTCTATTACTTATGGCAGCTGCAGAGTTTAATTCTTGTGCTTCTTCTGCTTGCGTATTGGACCACAAGAAACCAAACCAACCACGTTTTGCTTTTAAACTTTTTTCTCTTTCCGCTAATTTTTCCACCTTTGAAGTACAAATTAAAAAAAGAATTTATTATGAGGCTACAAAATATATGTATATTTCTTTTATTACTAAAATTCGTTTCCAACTAACTTCCATTTCAATTTTTTGCCTAATAATAACTAAATTAAAAATGTCTAATTTCTTTTCACATTCAGTAAGGAGATCTTCTATCTCCTGTGCAATTTTCTTAGTTGTTAGTTTCGTTTGATAGGCTCCAGCGTAAGCACGACACATATCTCGATGATTTTTCATATGATTCCAGTCCCAATTCCTACGTTTCCTACGTACTGATTCTTCTAAAATACAAGCATATGCAAACTTCCACCTAAAAGTAATAATTTATTATAAGAATTATTTCTAATCACTTCTTAAAGTTCAATAATTTATAATAATTTATTACCATTCTTTATAGTGTCCTCTGTATGATGTTAACTTTGGTCTATATTTTCTATATGGGGCAGCCTTTTGAGCTTGATCTAAACCCTCACCTAATTGAACAAGGGTGTGATATTGTTTTCTCACTAATCCTATTCTTAATTTTTGCATTTCCATGTCCAACCACACTTTGGGAATTGTATAATTACTTCCATCTGTTTCTGGTTTAGGATTTAATTTTAATTTTGCATTGACATTTATTGGACCCAATACTAGATACATTAAAAATAAAAAATATTATAAGAAAATTTTTAATTATAAAACTTAAGAATTTCAGTACTTTAAATCATATGTTCTTACAATATTGATAACCAGGTGGATTATAATCAACAGTGGCAATACCACTGTAAAATAGATCTGAATAATTTGATTGTGCACTACTAAACTGTTCTACTGTTGTATTGAGGTACACTGCTAAACCATCTAGTGTGCATAACTAGAAAAAATATATTTTTTATTCTAAACAGTATTTCTAATACTGTTTCTTTACCATATATCTACCTACCTTATAAATTTGTGGAATAGCATACATATCTTTTAAATTACCATCTGTTTCCCAAGAATCTGTACAACTTTCTAAGATAAATTTATTCAATGTAAAACCAACTGAAAAGTGATGATCTTTGAATGAAATATGGTCTTCGTATCTCGCATGTATTTTTTTTATTTCAATGTGAATATTTTTTATCATACGGGCAATAAGTTTTTCAACCATTGAATCATCCAGTTTCTCTTGTGCTAGAAGATCCAAATAAAATAATCATTACCATAGCTGTTACACTAAACAATAAAAAATCATATAATTCTTTAATGAAAGCTTATTACATTTGGTATCTGCTAATTGTTTTTTTTTCTCAACTCTTGTAAGTTCTGTACGTTTAGCTTCAAGCTGCATTTTTTCTTCTTTTTCTGCATCATATGCAACCTGACTTGTAGGAACTATAAGTACAAAAAGTTCTTCAACTATAGCATCAATTTGACCATTCCACATATCTTTAAATGGTATTTTTAATATAAGTTTCCCTAAGAAAAAATAGAAGTACAAACTACATTAGTTTTATAATTTATATTTATTACACAAATATATATACTTAATCTACAAACCTAATCTTCCATATTCCAATCTAATAGGTAGATTCAATAAATCTAATGCAGTTTCTTTTATTAATAAGTCTGTTAGTACTACATCTCCTAAAAAAAATATAACAAAATGTTTTTATTCTTACTCTATAAAAACGAAAATTATATTTTTCTTCTTGAAAAATAACAAATATACGTGTAAGAAAATACTGCATTAAAAATAAGATATCACACAATTCTTTTCAACTTATTTTATATGTAAAATAACTTTTTTTCAGAAAAAATATTTTTTATTGCGTTCTTCATAAGTGTTAATTAAATTTAAAAAAATGTGATTAAATGTATAAGATTAAACAATATAAAAGAGAATAAATTAATATTATTTTTATTTATATAAAATTACATTGCGAAATTTGAGTAATTGCAGGTTTTGTAAGAGAAAAAAAGCAAAACTGTGCAGATCCTTTCTTATTATATCCATAATATTTGCATTCAAATTACAAAAACGAAATTTCATGTACATAATGCTAAATGAATCTAAATATTTAAAATTCTATAAGCTATAAGTACGTAAACAGCGAGCAATACACGTTACGATGATAATAAAATCATTAAGCTGAAATATGATTAAAATCACAATTATAGCGAAAATAATAAAAATCTTTTTTTTTTTTATTATTATTATTATTATTAAGAAAGTAAGATTAAAGCAATGTTGCATAAATTATTTATTTTTTATTTACTTTAATGTTTAATTTTATTATATTGTAGAACCCATTTTTTGTATTGCGTATGTATTCATAATTTCATTAGACGTATGTTTCATAAGCGATAAAGGACTATTTGAAGAGATCTTAATATAAATAGAAGCTGATGTCATATCGATGTACTAATAATGCATCTATATATATTTATGAAATAGTAGACTACTCGTTATCAGATAATCGTTATCACTTTATATTTTTTTAACTTTCCTGGGCGTCGTCAAGTTTCCAAACGAATAGAAGCATGCTTCATGTAACTGAATACTATGTTATACACACATGAAATGATCTAAATTTTCAAACAAATTATGAATGCTTACCTCCCCATAAACTCAGCTTTAATTGCGAATAATCCAAATTTTGAATATACTCTCCTAATACTTTGTTTAAAAGTTCAGCAACAATTGATTCGAAGACCATCTTCGATTCTTATCTTGGAAAATAAAGAATTTCTGTACAAAATTTACAAGTTCACAAAAGTAAGAATAACGAGGATTCGGTAAATTTTGGTGTGCTAGATCTCTCTTAAATGACGAACAGTTAACGCGCAAAAGTAAAATCGATCGATAAAAGAGTACCGCATAACCTTTATAGAGTTCGTATATACTGTACAGAACTAGAACTGCGTAACAGATGAATAAAGAACTAATCTGAAAAATTTTAATTACTGTAATTATCGTCACGAAATATTCTTATTTCATCGTTCATGTTGTTAGGCAACTCGAATTTCTATTAAAATAATACACTGTCACGGTACACTTGATTTAATTTTCGAATGTATTGAAGGTAATTGATTTATATCGAATTATCAATTAATTTTAAACTTTTTATAATTCAAGTGACAACATGAGAAAATATAATACTGCCAATATCTTCTGATGTACTTGATTTCGCCAACTCTACCTTCACATTCTAGTTATACTTACAGTCACTTCATTAGAGGACTACCACGCGCTACTTGCACATACAGCTTCAACTCAATCTATCAACTACATATGCAAACGTGTAATGGAGACGACAGTTGATAAAATCCTATTTTTGTCTTAATATATACATATACTTAATAAAAACGTATTTATTTATTCATGTTTAATTTTAATTTATGAAGAGTAAATTTTGTTATTTACACTGATTAACAAGAAATTGAATAGAAGGTCATTTGCTATTTTTTATTTAGTAGTTTTTATTTTATATAAGATAATACTGTTTCAATAATACATAATACATATTAATACAATTTATAATTTCAATTAATTATTTTTTTATACTTAGAAAAATTATATTATATATAATTTTTTATAATCAATATGAAGTCAAAAAATTATCTTATTTACTTTAGAATTCATCTAATGCCAAAACCAATCCAAATTTTCAGCATTAAAAATCGTTCCGTTATACTTCGCAATTAAAAGTGGATTCAGTCTTCTGACATATGTTTTCCTAAGTCCAATGTTTTGTAATTTTCTGAAATTATCAGCTAACATATCTTTTCCATTGGAAAGTGATCTAAATTTGTTTAGCTGTAAACAAATATTTTTAAATCTTGATAAGGGAAAAAAATATTAAGTCATACTTATTGTAATGTATTAAAGACGTACTTGTGTGAAAGATATTGGTACCGGTGTCGGAAATATTATCCATGTTACTACTTCATTACATGGAGGAGTAGTTAATGAACCTTTATAAGTATAAAATATATCTATATTTTTGGGTAATAATGAAGCTAATGTTATAGGACTACTTAATTTTATTGCTCTATTTATTCCTTGCACACACATTAAGTCACTTACAATAGAATGTAACGATTCGTTATCTTCTTCCTGTAACTAAATGTGTAACAATGTATATACTTCAAATCAAACAATTTTATACGAAAAAATAAAATTTATCTTCTAAACTCACTTGAAAAAAAATCCCTAAAACTACAAGACCATTTTTATAATTCGATGCATTAGATAAATTTGAATAAATTTTATTTCTATGAACTATATGCATTTCCATGGGATATCTATAAATAAAAAAAATTAAATAAATAATAAATGTTTTTGATAATTCGTGTTTTTTTCCTTTTTATTTTTACCTAATGCCATTCAAAATGTGCTCAGACCCTCTATTATTTTTTGCACCCCAATGAAAATGTAAATGATCTATTTCGTATTCTTGATTTGCATCAAGTGAACCACCAAATATATAAGGTAGTTCTTTTCTTAAATGATTATTTACATTTATTACAACTAAAAAAGTAATTAGGTTATTATGAAATATTATTACGAATTAAATTCTAATAATAATACCTGAATGACCACTATTTTTTAAATATAATGGATTTGGAAGGAAATCGTGATAGCCAATTACTTCGAGAGCTGGTAAAGGAAGAGCTACTGATTTGAACGACGATAAAGATATTGGAGATTGCAATTTTCCGCTACATAATTTAAAATTTTTAACCCATATGTGCTGATCTAAAATATTAGAATGAATGTAAAATAAAAATATTGAAGAAATGTGCTGTAAAGTATTACATACCACGTTTACTGTATCCAAAATGTCGCCCAGCAATAATTGGTACTAAAAAAATATTCTTCTTAGGTACAAATCACATAATAAAATAATATAAAAATAATTAAACTTACTAGTTGTTATAAATATTACAATTTTTATAATACAAATCATTTTAATGTACATTTAATTTCTTCTTTGCTTCTTTTTCTTTCCTTTGTTTTATTTTATATTTATTTTTTGTTTTAATTATATTTTTATGATTTAAATAATATTTAAATATTATTAACGAGTAATGCAATACAATAATGACACATATTTGCAATATATACTTCGTATATGAGTCCAAGGAGCATACTAAGTTATTTCCAGCATCTTCCAAGTGTTTCATTTACATATTACATGCTCTATTATCATCATCAATACAGGATATCTTGAGTACACATGTTTCTATGTATTTTGTCAGAAAGACAAGAACTTCAGTAACATGAAATTCAAGTACATATTTGTTTTGTTCACACTATTCAGTTTTAAGTACATACTGTTTAATATAATTTTATGAGAAACAACATAACTTGTATAATAGATATCATAACAATTTATTTACATATGTACAAATAATATTAATTATTTTTCTAATACATTGAGCTATATCAATTATTTAGAAGTTCAATATTTGGCAAGTTATAATTGGTATAATATATAAATCTATAATTAGCTTTAGTATGTAAAGTAAGATATTAATAACTTTGATATAACTAATATAAAATTGTCTGTTACATTTTCTCATTTTGTTACAAATAGTAATATAATACAGTTTTGCAATTAGTACATGCACATGAAATATGCATATACACACGCGCGCGACCGCGTATTTATTTTTATTATAATGTAGAGAGAGCTTACAAATTCTTTAAATATTAATGAAATTTTTGTATTTTCTGTACTTATAAAATACATTCAAAAATGAACAAATTTTGCATACTTCGTTTTCTTTGCATTATATAAAATTCATTATATAAATAACAACTTTGTATGTACATGCTGCTGCAAATAAATAAACATTTTTTTATTGCAAATTGAATTGATATTATAATATTTATAATAATAAAGCAAGAAATAGATAAAATTATGGTGTTGTTAACCATTTAATTATTTACAATATGTAATAAATTTTTAATATGAAAAATTATTTGCAGCAACAAAAGTTTTAAGATATCACACCTTAATATTAATAGCACCATTTATAGTTTTATTTGTTCCAATAAATACAATACGATACTATAAAGAATTATTAAAATATACTTAAAAAGGTATATTAGTTTAAATATTTTAATACAATTGAAAAGAGTTGTTATAAATAGAAATAAAATAGCCAATTTGTTTAGATATGAAAGTAATTTTTCACGATACTTAATATTTTAAATATTTTTT